TGAATGTCCACACGACATTCGCCAGTACCTGTCCTCAGTATATGTGTGTGTGAGAGTGTGAGTGAGAGTGAGAGTGAGAGTGTCCGCACGACATTCGCCAATTATGGTGAATGTCCCCTCGACATTCGTCAATTGGTCGTTTGGCGAATGTCTCGTGGTGAATGTCTCATTGACATTCGCCAACTTTTTTGGACATTCGCCTATAGGCGAATGTCTACTGGCGAACATTGGCGAAAGTTGAATTAGCGAACTGCGACACATCCTTTTTACTGTATCGACAGTATTCGTTGATATGTCAATAGATTCTGTCTCAGTCATGAACTGGAAAATACCCAATGCGGTTGTTTATCAACGAATACTGTCGATACAGTAAAAATGATTTCTGAAAATATCCTTTCGTCGCAGCGATCTGTTATATATTGATAAAATATTTGAGTGTAGACATGACTTGCAAAATGTTATATATCAGTAAAGTTCGTCATCACCTTTTTGATGATGGACTTTTTTCAAGACAATAAGTGTTAGTTAAGGTTCCTATATGTATTTATTCAGATCAATGTGCTCTATCATTTTAGAAAATTACCTTTTTGGTACCATTAATTCATGTTTTTGCCATAAATGAAGTAATAATTTATACTAACTTTTACTTTTTATTTTTGTTTGAAAGATTAATAAATTCTCTATAGATCTGTGACATAATTTTTCAGAATCGTTGATTCCTTAATTATTTGTTTCCAAAACATTAGCGCAATAGGGAACAAAATTTGAAAAATCTATAACTTTGAAAGTATGAGATTTCAGTGTTTAATTGTTTGATAGTTGGATAGAGAATCAACGAGTAGTGTGTTGACCATAGTGGGGCCACGAATGAGTCCACAGATTGGATATCTGAGGTCACAGTAACCTATCAAGCTGCGCTGAATGACGGTCTTAGTTTTCCCAAAAATTTCTATATTTTTTTCTGGAAAGAGTTTTTCTAAAACTATTACTTGATGAAAACGGAAAGAAGAAGTTGGGTTACTCAGATAAGCTCTAGGCTGGTTTTGTAGAACAGAACAAAATTAATGACACATGTATAAACAAGATACTCTGTGCAGATTATTCTATTGAAATCGTCTCTGAACAAAAGGCTGAAGGGCCCCCTCCCTCAGAAATGGTGACTTTCGGTCAAAAATCGGTTTTGAGATACGCACATGGAAAGATAGTCTGAAGTGTCTACTTCCAGAATCCGTATTGCTTTTGATTACAAAACTGGTTTTTCGGGGATTTTGAGCAAGTTTTCTAAGAGCCTCGAAAAAACTTGTCTTCAAATAATGGTTTTTTCCTAAATACTTATGCAATTAAAATCTTTTCGAAAATACAGCTTTGTAGAGCAAACGTTTCTGATCAAAATAAGACCTCGCACAATTCTGTATGGGCATCAAAAAGTTACAGGTATTTTTCTTAAAGTCCTAAAATCGAGTATTTCATACAGCGTTTAATAAACCCTTTTCACTATATAAGAGCTACACCTGAAGTGCGTCCCACGATTTTTAATAGGGGTTTGTCGTAGAGAGTTCATTCCTTTTTTGTTTAAAAGAGGAAAAGAAACTACATCGACTGACCGGCGTCGATTTTTGAATTAGGCCTTAGTTTTTTTGTCAAACTGAGGATTTTTCGGGTTTCGGAGATTGTTGGTTGCCAATAAAGGCTTAATTGAAAAATCGGCGCCGGTCAGTCGATGTAGTTAGGTGTCTAGTTTAAAATAAAACAAACCCGAACTCTCCAGCTTGAAGTATATTAGAAAACCCTGTTTGTTTTTGACTGATATTTAAAATAAAACTTCAAAATGCAGCTATAGAAAGAACTAACTTCCGGTAATAGTTCTCGTTGTAGCAGTTCAAGCGACTCGGATGGATTGTCTGGTGGCATAATTGTCGGAATCATCGTTAATGTATTTTGGGTGTATCCGTAATAATTGCAATCACTGTGAGTATTATTTATTTCATCAAACACTCAAACAGACATAGAATCCGCCACCCTGTAATGGCACAACAAAGTATCCAACATCCTGTAATGGCATAACCAAGAATCCCCGATTCCATAATGGCACAACAGTTTGATCAGTTCGATGGCCCGCCTCATTACAGTCCAAAACGATTCGACAGATTCTACTGTAAGCAAACAGTAGAAAGAAACATTGTAGTTTTCAGATACCTTCATTATCATTTCTTACTGTGCTTTCAGAAGCGTACAATCCGGAATGCATAGGCTTACACAGGCACTGTCCTATATCTTAGGACGCCAGTTGAATATCCACGAATGCATATCATGCTATGGAAGTGGTGAGTCTCATAGTATTTTCTTCTCCTCTCCCATCGAACTTTTACCGAAGCGTCAAGCAGAATACGACGCGTGGAATGCAAACATGCAGTACACATTTTTTTAGATGGTATAGTTAGAAAGCATTCATATGCCGTGCTGGCTTTATAATTTTATGTTTTAGAACGTTACACAATTATTTCATCATCGACATCTAACAAAGTTCATCTTCAGTAAATGCCTTGTATTACTTCCGGTAATAGTTTTAGTTGTAGCAGTTCAAGCGACTCGGATGGATTGTCTGGTGGCACAATTGCCGGAATCATCGTTGGATGTAATTTGTGTGTGTCCGTAATAATTGCAATCACTGTGAGTATTATTTATTTCATCAAACACTCAAATAGACCTAGAATCCCCCATCCTGTAATAGCACAAGCAAGAATCCCCGATTCCATAATGGCACAACAGTTTGATCAGCTCGATGACCCACCTTCTTACAGTCCAAAAGGATTCGACAGATTCTACTGTAAACAAACAGTAACAATTTTGAGTTTTACAGTTCCAATCTATATATGCAGTATCTATATAGCAAGATTTGCTTTCCGAACTAAATATGCCATAATAAATCAATTCTGCTTCTCGGAAAGAAACATTGTAGTTTTCAGATACCTTCATTATCATTTCTTACTGTGCTTTCAGAAGTGTACAATCCAGAATGCATAGGCTAACACGGGCACTGTCCTATATCTTAGGATGCCAGTTGAATATCCACGAATGCATATCATGCCATGGAAGTGGTGTATAGCTAGTTAGAGCGACCGAACACTAAGTCTAGTCAGTTGCGAGTATTTCGAGTTGGTACTCGTGCTCGATGCATGTATCATTGAATGACCATACTTAAACAGAAAACTTACTCGTAGAAAGTGTGCTGTTTTCGCTGCATACTAATTATTATGTCTACTACATAGTATCACACTTTCTTGTTTCAGATTGCGGTTTTCCAAGGTTTCAGTGAGACCTTTTCTTAGAAAGTTTATTCCATTGCATAGGACTCACTTTTGTCTCAACTCTATTCCTAGGGCACCTATCGATAAATGATACTGCTCGGTTTCGCATAGGATTAATTAAATGCCGCAACGACAAGTATAAGGATAACTGTCGTTTCAGTTGAGAATGTATTGTCAGGGAAAACCGATCAAACGCGACCATCGAGTGCTAAAGAATGCACAGTTTTCTGTCTAAACTCGTTTTAGCTTTGTGTTTCGGACGCCAGTATAAATATTACCAAAGCGGTAAGGAACAGTTACTTAAACATCATCTAGTATTGCTAACTGTGCAAAACAACTCGAAAATTATCCCTATCGATACAAGAACTTATTTCAGGACTCTGTTTGCTTTCAGTTTTGTGAAAAGAAATGTTATGAGCACCCCATGTATTTCTAATTAGTTCATAATTAATAATTGTAGCATAACAGTACAGCAGTTCTTTCATCACGTGCATCATTGTAATCTCTTATAATGATCGGTACATTCGACTAGTATGTAGTCAAGATACCATTTCGATGTTTTCCCTGATGTAAGCAGAACTAAAACAGACTCTTCAAATAGAATATAAGCCTCCATCTCCTCTACACTTGCGTTACGCCACACAGATGCGGACAAAGTACGCCATATAGATTAGGACAAAGTAATAAAGCGCCCTCTACATTATTTTCCTTTACTGATCGGCGTACTGTTGGGGGTATATAACCGGCGAATCGATCGCAGACATCTATACCGAATCAAATAACAAATACAAACTAGACGAACAAGGTTTGAGTACATTTCATCGTATAGCTAAGAAATATCCGCCCAGTCAGGAATTAGCGGCATTAATGATTGAACTAGCATCAACATTTAATAGTTTTAAAAATAACAAAGGACGGGGGTCGATAAGGGGCAAAATCGAGCCCCTATGAGTTTCACGGCCTACAAAATAATATATATATAATATTGACAACCAATTGGGCCCATGAGTCCTAACACTGGAAATACTAGTCACGGCCTCCGCAAGTCCATAGGTCCACAGCGTTCATCGCTTATATTATCCAGCCAATTGATCAATTAGGCCCAGTAAGCTGTGAAACGTGCTTGAAAATCAAACTCGTTTTAAAAACACTTTATGCCGTAAGTTAGATTTAGTACAGTTTTCATAAACTTAAGGCTGGCAGGATTTCGCACCAGAGCGTCGAATTCCTTCGATTAATTACAAATGATCTTCGTAAACAATATTCAACCTATTCGTGGTGGAAACGTGGTGGATCAACTGCAACGGAGATATTCAATCTATAACAAATGAAATTGACTTATATGTCTATTTATGTAATGAAGAACACATTCCAAAAGAAATTGAATCAAAATAACGCCACTTCTGCCAAAACATCTTCCACCGCAGCGATCTATCATGTTAAAATGGGTTAGCTATTTAATATCAATTGAAGGTATAAGTGAAGAATTAAATATGAAGGTTGAATCCATTTATTCAATACAAGAAATTGCAGGAACAAAGAACAACCGCAGTCATAATTTGAGGATAGACAGGGAGGATAGGATCGAAAAGAATATAACGATATTTTAAATAATGGAATAATTAATTTATCTGGAACTATTTTCAACGTTGATGAATATCTTCCTGCACCAAAACTATTTATTTGTACAAGATGCAATTATCCAGGTCATGTCAAAAAAGTATGTACAAATTCAGAGTGTGATTTATGTCGTAGATCTGGTGAAGACAGAAACAATGATAAAGATCATAAAGAATGTGAAATCTGTTGTCATCATTGTGGAGGAAATCATCTTTCTACAGACTCTAGTTGTGCTGTCATTAAAGAATATCGTTCAAAAGTGATTTCTGAAATTCAGCATCATCCAGAACGTCTACCACCAAATGTGCAGTTATTTATTCCTTCACAACATCGTGATCCACGTGAAAGAAGTAAAGTAATTTATAATAACAAAGTAACAAATCATCAATCACAAATCAAACAACCATAGTATAACAGAAATGACAATAATGCATGGCCAACTACATCCTCGATAATCAACAATAATTTGAATGAAACGGTTAAAACAATTAGTGCTCGTATTTTGTGGAGGAAAAGCTCGATTCATATTTCCGACATCGTAAGGCTTAAAACTATTGTTTCTCACAACATCTATTTGAAAGAAAATAGTCGATGCTGTCCTAGCCATCTGGAAGGTGGTATCTTAAAAGTGTCGGCTATAGACAAAATTAAACATGATCAGTCGAAAATGAGACTAGTATGTAGTCAAGATATCATTTCGATGTCTTCCTTGATGCAAGTAGAACTAAAACAGACTCTTGAAATAGAATATAAGCCTCCATCGCCTCTACACTTGCGTTACGCTATACACATGCTGAGTATTACACTCTTATCGGCATTAATAAAGGATCGTTTCAAAAATTATGTGTCTTGTCAGTATTCGAGATACGGAAAATCGCTCCCACGAGATGGTCATAGGCTGTCTGTTAGTGAAACTGAGATTAGGACAAAGTAATGAAGTGCTCTCTACTTATTTTCCTTTACTGATCGGCGTACTGTTGGACGTATATAACCGGCGAATCGATCGCAGACATCTATACCGAATCAAATAACAAATACAAACTAGACGAACAAGGTTTGAGTACATTTCATCGTATAGCTAAGAAATATCCTGCCGGCCAGGAATTAGCGGCAAACATGCTCACTACGCAAACACTACTCTAGGAGTCGGACAGATCCGGGTATATCTTGTCATATCCAGCGGTAAAATCCTTCTGAATCCCCACACCGGATTCTATGTCCTGGGAGCTGCCTTCCTAGCTCAGCATTTTTCGGCTTTAAAAATCAGCTATTACAAACAATCACGCTGTCAGACAGCGTATACCACTGGTTTTTTCTTTCCAGATAAATAACTGAATAGAGTGACGTCACTATATACACGCGATGTATTCATAGAAACATTCAATCGGTACAGGCCCGTTGAAACTTTTATGTAAACGAAAGATGCATTCGACGCATATTTCCTTCTTTTATTTTTCTCTCACAAAGAGAATAGGAGTAGACGCTCTTCAGTTATGTTCAGTTCTCTCTTCTGCTTTTCTAAAGAAAATAAGTGGACGATTTCATGGCATAGTCCGACTTGAAAAGAGACGAAACTATTGACAGACCAGTTCTTTCCACTTAAGCTTTTACTAGTTATATAGACGATAAACAGAAAAGAGATGCAATTACAATAGACGTAGAAATCAATAAAGGTGACAGACTTCAACGAATATAGTAAACAGTCGTTTTCAATAATGAATACGGTGCAGATAATTCTTTGCCGCATCTTCTCGTATCCTTTTGTATTTGCTGCTAATGTCAATTGGGGAAGCAATGCCTGATCGGCACCACAACCGAAACAACAAACAGCAACAACAAAACCAGTGACATCTCCAGCCACACCGAGAACAACGACAACAAATAAAAAGCAAAGAACACCACCTCCAAAAGGTGCTTAAAATAAAACATCAAAATCACGAAGAGAATCATTATCGAGAAAAAGTCAAGGTGGTGCTGAAGGTGGCGAGGTTAAGTCGCCGGAACTTGAACATGCGGATGAAGAAGGCAAAGATCATGCTCGTAAGATCATTCGTATATATACGTTTACACAAGACTTTCGCTAATTTCGATCACCGAACTCACTTCCACCATTAAACATAAATCTAAATCACTTTTTGTAGTTTGGAAACCGTTAATCGAAGAACCAAATTGGCATATTTTAAAATGGGAAAATTCCGAACGCAGTAACGTTGTTAAATTGTTAATAATTGACTTGTGATCTTTTACACTGTTTCTTGTTATTGTTGAGATTCGTTCTAAACAAATGTATCATAGTTCCAATCATTCAGATTTTATGTCAGTAGCGGAGTAGTTTACCTAGGATAATTTTAATTATTTCACCAGGGGTATCTTTGTCACCATTCATTTTCGGTTCGCTTGTGTACTTGTAAATTCAACCTTGTCTTGATTTTAAATTCAACCAAAAAGATTGTTCACCAATATAGCACAATAAAAATTATAGGATCATTTTCCGTAAAAATTTCCAAAAATCGATTGTTTCAACCAAGTTAGGTTTTTAAACTATTAATGAGAAAAACACATTAGCACGAGCCAGAGTGGTCGACCTATGTTTTTTAGGTTCCCAATGGGCATCTCACATTACTACTACGGCTATCAGAAAAGGTGATGACACGACCAAACCTTGATAGATGAACAGGGCAGATTAATAGCATTTTTTAGAAGACGCTTTACGCTATCACATAAAAAGCAAATGTATTTTTATTTCAAATTTTATTTCAAATAGGCGACTAGTTCTTCGACTAGACTCTGCTTTTACAATACATTTTTTTGCAGTATTTTCAGTTTGGAAAAAAACTACAAGAGGAAAAACATGAACAATGTGAGGATCTTTCACCAAGATGAAAATATATTTCTCACTTAGTACACCGAAAAGTCAAGATAGCAACATACAATCCGTCTGAAAATATTTAAGATGGATAACCAGGCTTTTCAATCTGAGCAGGTGAACATGTCGGTAAAGCAAAAAATAACATCACGTCATACTTGGATGTACGCGAAAGTAAGAGTAAGAATGACAGCAATGTGGATTTTCGAACTGACCATTAAAAAAATAAAAAACGCATGGTTTACAGCGAAAAGACAATTTGAACAAAATTAAATTAAATTCGATACAATAGCATAAAAGCTTCAGAAACCAATAAGGAAACAATTCTAAGACTAAAAATCCGAGTTTTCGAGTTATTTTGAACGAAGAGTCAAATGAACACAGCTAGATGGAAAATGAAATTTTCATCGGATAATCAAGTTTCTCTACAACTGTCTACACGAACTCTCTCGTAAGATTCGTCAAAGATTTCGTCTAACAAAGATAAGTAAGATAAAACCGATCTTACTGAGACTCTGAGCTCGGCAAAAGTTAAGATTTGATCACTTTGCGTAAAACATTTCTGTACTGTCTTTTAATAAAATTTAAATAACTCGGACTAGCTTCGTATATAATTTAATTTACTAACGAACAATTCATACCGTTATACTCAAGCAGAAGTATTCTAGCCGAAATATCTAGATGCTTTAGCTGGAGTATCGTCGATATTTTTTACTCTCTTATCTAGATATTCCAACAAGCATCGAGTTAGCTAACTGCATCGGCCCAATATATTTGAATGCATCCTTTTGTATTTGTACGGAAGTAGGAGAGTCGAATGGTTTTAAGATAGTTAATCATAATCTCTTTTACCAACAAGTAACGAACAGTAGTGGATCCTAGAGAACGTACTTGATGCAAGTACTTGATTACATGCTAAGTACTCGGTAAGTACTTGGAAAAATTGGCAAGTATTTTCAAAATTTCTTACTTGCCATGTACTTTCATAAGTACTTCTCAATGATAAAAATACTTGCTTTTATTGCTAAGAAGTACTTTATGAAAGTCCTTGACAAGTAAAGGCTTGACATACTGATTTCACTATGTTTTACCCGGTTTTCTCTTCGGGAACATAATGCTTCAATTCTGCTTTGGAAAAGCTAAAAAGCAGACATTACATGCAGACACTAACATTACCCCTCGAGGGGTAATGTTAGTTAGATCAACATCTCAAAGGTAGTCGAATCCCGTGTGATATACCTAATACAGTTATTGTGGACCTGGTAGGTTTTACTGATAACATCAGAGTGATAGGAATCTACTGGTCTAAGGTGTAAAAACGTGATTTGGATGATCTAAAACCATTCTTAATCAAAAATACAATCATTTCTGGGGATTTCAATGCAGCCGTAGAGGAATAGGGACGCCCTATTCAGATAGCCAAGGTAAAATTTTAAAAGAGTGGATAGATGGAAATGGTTTGGAATACGTTGAGAACTCAGGAAATTCGTCTAAAAGATCGGTGAGAAATATAGATTTTACCTTTGTAAATTTTGAAGGTATTAAAGGCGAAACACTACGCTTTGGGTCGAGCGGTCACTGGCCCAATTTATATAAAATTGAAAGTATAGTGTTCAAGACAGATGACCTCTTCCTAATAACAGCTTGGTCTTTGTGTCAAGTTATTTTACGGTTATTACAGGACTTTTGGACAGATAAACAAACTGAACTGACAGCGACTGAATGGTATGAGTTGTATATAGTCTTTGTCTGCACTTAAATCCAGATTGACTAAATATATTACTAGGATAAATATAAACCTGCTTTATCCAATACGTCTTAGAAAAACTAAATATTCGAAAAGTTCGGAATTTATATTAGCATTACCATTTCGAAGCCGATAGAATTGCCCTTCGCAACTTAACGCGAGAAGTTAGAAAAGAAATAGCTCTGTATAAGTCGTTTAGATGGAATTGTTTTTATCATCTATAAATAATGCTCACGAGCAATCCACAACAATTTTTTGGTCCTTTCTATCACGAATTTATCGTCCACAAATCATTTATTCGCAGATGATTTATCAGTGGTTATCACACCTCCTTTTAGGCCAAAAGTCAGTGAAATGTTGAAATTTTTAGAAGAAGAAGGAAATAGAGTTTGCGAAAGAATTGTAAATCACGCAGTCATTCATGAGCAACCTATTAAGTACAATAAAACGGTTTTTCAAATCTTCCATAAGCAAGTCGTGAGACCAACGATTTCACTATTTATGAACGGGTTTTCTCTTGAGCAAGTAAAGTGGTTTAAATACTAAAGGTTCATATGGACTGAGAAGTGGTCTCTGCGACTTTCCGTGGACTTTCCGATCAAATAAATCCAAAAATCTTACGGTAAACTGAAGTGGTTGTCTAAGTCAAAAGAAGTCTCGATTAAATTGAACAGAAAATGTTTCTTTGCTTATTCATTTCCTTTCTTCCCTGGCTCTTCCCAATTTACCCATTTTTATCTAAAACTCATCTAGCGTCGCTTAATCGTAAATTTCGAGTCGGTATGAGGCTAATTTA